ATTCCTCGATACCACATCCGGTATGAGACAACGTTCATTAATTTTTCGTTTCTTATGTACCCGATCCGTCCACCATCTCCTAAGATATCCAGTAAGACTACCATTCATTAATTTACATGAGCAATCAATTTTTCGTTTGCATATCAATTACCAATTTCACAAATCAACCGTAAATTATGCAAGATAAGTCATATATATATATATCCAGAAGGCACAATTGAATCATTTAACTATTCTAGTATATCATCATGTATTTAAAGCTATAAATTCAACAATCAATTAAACAAGATAACAAATAAATGACTAACTAGTTTCCGACTCCATTGGTAACCTGTAATTATTCTCAAAGTTTTTTAAATTACACAAAATACCATATTACCAATTATTAAACTTCAATTCCATAACAAAGAATAAGGTGAAGGATTTTTATCTGAATCGGTGTCCGAAATACCGAACTTTTTACTACACCTACTGACGGTTCTCGAGTTTCTTAAATTTTCCTGCGGAGATTAAAATACGTTTCACATACTTAAAAATATCCAAAAAAATCTAAAATCGGTGTTAAAAATCTTTTTCGGCCAATTTTGGAATTCTGGCACGGTGGCACCACCGTACTCCGGTGAAGGCACCGTCGCCCGCTGCGGTGGTTTACCTCGACCTGGTCATTTTCAGATAGTTTTGGCCGATTTTATACTCATCTCTATGAGAAAACATGTTAGAGGACCTTGGTTGGCTGAAAAAAATAAAAATAAAAACAAAAACCTACCGGCAGCGGAATTTTTCGGTGCGGCGGTTTCGCCAGCTCACCTTCGTGGTTGGGTATTTTTCTTCGGTCAACCTGTATAAAATAAAACAGTAGACACAATAGTGAAAAAACCGTACGAAATAGAAAACGGAAAGAGACTCATTGAAGGTAGTTTCGAATTTTTTCCGCAGTTTCTGGCTCATCCACTGTTTCTTTTGCTTCGATTGGCCATGGGGTGCTCAGAATCAAATTTCGAGCGGATAAGAGAATTTTTTATCTTTTTTTGGTGGTCAGAGGTAGCTCCGGCGCGATAACAGGCGACGGTCAGCTCCCTTCTCCAGGGACTAGTTCTTCTTCTCTGACGGGGGAGCTGACGGCTAGGGTTTGCGTTCGGTGTTATGCGAGATATTTATACCCATCTTGCTTAAATCTGGGCCGTTGATCGTATTTGATCTCGACCGTCTAATCGTATTCAAAGAGAAAATAAATATGACTGTTCATCGCAATATGATCTTGATTGTCCGATCTCGTTTAAAGAGAGAACGAATCTGAACCGTTCATCGCGACCATCTGATTGCGCCTGAGGAGGGAACGAATCCAGACCGTTCACGCACGCGGGAACGCTTCCGGGCCGTCTGATCGTGAGCACGCAAATTGCCAGTGTGACCTCCTGCGTGGCACCGAATCAATGTGTCTTGTCACGCGGCGTGCTTCGATTTGTCGGAGCTGCTGACTGAGCGATCTACATGGCGAAATTTTTCTTAATTCTATTTTGATCTCTTAATTTTCGATTTTCTTTCAAATACTATCTTTAATAAATCAAAATTCATCATCAATG